ATATTCGGGTTATTAGAGGCTTGGGATGGTGTCACACCTATAGACGAATGTATTTTGTTATTGTATTCGTCGACAACAACCGGTAATATTTTAAGCCATTTTTGAGATTTCAATTCCGTGAATTTCTTGAATAATTTGCTTTTAAGAGTCCTGTTGAATCTTTCTATCACTACGGCTTTACCTTCGTTATGCGTACTGTAAATTTCAAACCCCAGAGATTTCACATTTCTGTTGTAGAATTCGCTTCCTTTATCTACCCACAACTTTAGGAGTTGTCTGTCGGATTGTTTCATTATGGTTTCGAATGCTTGTTTGACAGTCAGACCCGATTTGTTTTTCAAGGGAAAGACCCAAGCGTATCTCGTGTATAAGTCGATCACCGTCAAACAATACTTGTATCCTCTCTCGACTGGCATGTTGATTAAATCGGCTGACCAAATTTCATCTTTATCAAAAACTTTGACTTTGAGGTAATGTTTGTTTTTTCGAAATTCTTTGTGAATCTCGTCTGCTATGCCCATACCCAATTTCAATTTTGCCTTCAAGAGTTTTATGATAAGAGCCCTTTGTAATTTCTCTTTGAAAGTGGGATTGGGAATATTTTCGAGTTCGTCTATCATTTGTTTGTCTGCTTGGTGTCTGAATGTTACGTCTTTGTTTCTGTACAGTATGTCGTGTTTGAGCGCTGCTGCGTCAACTCTATTAACGGGTTCTTCCCCTGGTTTGGGAATATCATTTTCGTCTAAACGCAGATCTAATCTCGTGCCTGGACCTATATAATTGTGACCTGGGAGATGTTTTTCTCCGGGATATTTTGCCCATGGGAATCCAGGAAGAGAACCCAATGACTTTTGAATGTCTCCCGCACCGAAATACGTTTTAGGAGGATGGACATTTATTAAAGACATATTTGTTCAACATATATTTTTAATACGAAAGATTTAATACAAGAAGGAAATTTGTTGTTTGAGACAAAATTGGCCACTTTGGGGATGAGAGATGTTAGCGCAGAGAAGAAACCGTCTCCTTCGAATTTTTTTTTTCGTGTTTTAAAATCAAAGACATTTTTAATGCGGTTATTTTTTACTGTATTATTATTAGTGA